TTTTTTTTTTCGCTAATTAAGCAAGCAAGCCTGAATCTTATTTTTGAAGACAGGTCCATTGCTGCGTGCTGACTTGGTTCATAAAAATTTCTAGAACCCTAGGTTAAGAATCTGTCATGTTACAGACTTGAAACTAGGTGGAGTCTATAATCAACCGTTGACCACGCGACTTTTAATCAGCTTCACCACCCACATTTCTGTCGTTTATAAATGCATTGGATACAGATACCATTCAACCATTAAATATGTGCCTGTGTAGGAAGCTGTCAGCCATAAATCGACCAAAGCCAAAAAAAACGACGACACGAAACTAGCGGCATCAACAGCGACGACAAAATCGTCGTTGTGAAATTGAAACAATAAGAAAAATTCATTTATAGGGATGCCAGAAAAAAAAAAAAAAATTTATGCTTAGTTTTGTTATGTCAGCAAAAATGGAATGAAAAGAAAAACATCCATTTACAAACTCAACAGATGAGTTTGAAAAATAATAAAAGCGTTTTTTTTTTTCTTTTTTTAGCTAACAAAACTTAACTTGGCTGTCCCATGTGACTATCTATATAGAAAGTTTGATTTGACATTTACACGGACAGACATTCCCACAGACAAACGGGCGGACGTTTGGGCAGACATATACAAAGCAGCAGTCAAAACTGATATGTACCCTACTGACGGTCATTATATATATATATATATATATATATATATATATATATATACGTATATATATATATATATATATATATATATATATATATATAGGCAAAAATGCTAACTCAAGGCGGATACTGGATAAGACTGTTTTAAGTTGAAGAAGTTAGAATTGCAAAAATCATCATGTTTTTTGTCACTAAGGCTACAGTCGAGAACCCACAACTTTACCACAGGCTAAAAAAAGAAAAGAACTTTAGTTTTTGATACTTTATGACTTCAAGACTGGAACGAATAATACATTGTACTGTTCAAAAAAGTTTTACAAAAAAAGTTGTCTTTAGAATTTTACGTCTTCTATAATATAAAAGAATAGGGAACTTTACATCCAATAAAGCCACAGATTTCTGGATGAAAAGAAACTTGAGACAATAAGTACTGCACTGCAATTAACTCTTTGGGTGATAGGAAACTAGTTGAAGGGATCTTCAGTTGGAGTAAAACCGGGGATGACGTTCTCTTCAGTACATGGCGTTTGTTCAGAATTTGACTATTTCATACTGAAGAAAATGAGAAACATTGTATTTTAGTGCATTATTTACAAAGATGTACATTACTTTCAACTTGTTAACTTGTAACTTTACCAATTATCTAATTTATAAATTGAAAATTTTATAGGCTAGAAAGTTTTGCACATTATAAGTTCCTTAAAAAATCAGAATACATTCTTTTTACTTTGTTTCCTTTTGCAGTACCTCCCTCTATGTTTTTGTTATGTAACTCTACTAATCTTTTATCACGTCAAAGAAACAAATATTTCTTTTGTATAGAATTTGCAAGGTTTAAAATCAGTTAGAACTATTTTTAAGGTTAAAAGTCCTTGATTATAGGAAAATTGAAGAAAAATATGGTATTTTTTGATCTTAACCAAAGTAACTTAATAAGAAATTTATTTTTCCTGGTTTATTTTCTATTTCTTTCAAGTGACCTAGAGTTTAAGTACCTTTAAAAAAGTTTCAAGATATTAGATGAGAAAATCCCAGTATTTGAAATATATATATAGCAGTAAAAAAAAACAGCTTAAATATTTTCATGTTCTCTCCTATTTTTGTTGACAAAAAATTGTGGCTAATTAGTTCTGTTCTGAAATTAAGTTTTAGTGGTAGTTTAGAGAATCGTTCATTTTGTAAAACAGAAAAAATGTTTTACGCGGAGTAACAGAACGAAACTATACTTAACAGGAAATCTGCAGCAGTACTCCAAGTTTTCCTGAGTCAATGTCACAGTCTTTTGAATAAAGCATTACAGCGTATTTTAGCATAGAAATCTGCTAATCAAATTTATCAGCTGAAGGATAACTTTACAAAACATATTACTTTACCAAAAGTTAAGTCAAAAAACAAATAAACAAGTTTTTCAAGATGTAAGTTAGGTATTTTAACAAGACACTTAGAATTAGCTTGTTGTACTGAAATGATATCAGTTCAGTTTTACTTACAATAGCTTTAGCTTTACTGCAGATTTGACAGTAAAAACGATTAGTTAAAAGCACTAAAGAAGTAATAAAAGTTTCTGTTCATACTTTAGCTGCTAAATTTTTTAAATTTATAACCTGTAATAATACAAGTGAAAAAATAATGTAGAATTATTTTACAGATAACAAAACAGTATTTGTTAAAAGTTCTATTTGTTTTGTACTTTAATAGCAAGATTATAACGTGGCAAAATAAGAAGAACTTTTTAAATTTAAAAACTTGTCTGATTTCTACGCTTATGAATACATGTTTTCAGATAATTGGCCTAGAAGGAATTCCTGTTTATACCTATTTTCGAGTGAATAATGAAAAGTGGAAATTTGGTGAAATTTTATGTGACTTATGGTTAATGATTGACTATGTCGTATGCCTTGCATCAATTTATACTGTTCTTGGAATAACAGTAGACAGGTAAGCAAAGCACTAGAATTGTTTTCTTCTACAACTGTTTTACTGTACAAAAATTTTTCTTACAAAGACAAACCTAAATCATTATAAAAAATCACAAAAAATTTTCTAAACGTTTTTAATCAGACAAACTGAAATTACAATTAAATTTTGTATATCAATGGTTTAAAGTTAAAATTACAGGTTTTCAATTTCAAATACAGCACAAAAATAGATTTTTTTTTTCTTCTGAAACTAAGAAAACTTAACTACTGTTTTTTTCGGAATTAAATTCCAAAGTAGACAGTCTCTAAACTACATTTCATGTTGCACTAAGCTCAAGGTTTAGAAATCTAATTTAACAGAGCACTTCCTTAGGATATTTATAACGCATAGCTTTGTTGCTTTAAGATTTTGCTAAAAAATGCTAACTGTCAAGTAACTAAAACTGATTTTATTTTGCTGTTTGTGATAACTGAAATCAAATAAGTAAAGTTCAATAAACAACTTTTTTAGATACTGTTCCGTAAAGCATGCTGCAGCTTACCGGAACTGGAGAACACCGCGGAAAATAATAACAATTATTGCAATAGTATGGCTGGTCAGTAAATCTATTTTTCGTTTACTTTTGATCAATCTTTTTCAAAATTCTGGTCACGCCTTAAATTATGCTTTCAGTAACAGATCTAAGAAGCTAGTAAAATGTTAGTCAATAAAATATAGAAAAACTTTGATTTTTAGAAGGACCTTACTGTAATATTTAATAATCTGCGAAACGTACAAAGTGCTTGAAAAAATGCAAATTTAAAGACTGAAGACACTTTCAAAAACTGTCAAAAGCTAGAAATAATTTTTTGGATAAAAATGCTTTTTTGGTATGTACAAAACTTTGAAAAAAAAAAA